TGATCTTCGTAAACATAGGTTCAGCTTGCAAGTACGGTTTCTGGCGCGTGGATGACAGATCAGACGATATCTGAACATTGCTCAGGGCAGAGAGTTGTTAAAACCATCAATAGATATTGCACAAATGTCAATAAGTTTGTCGCGTAATTAAATCTAGGTTTTATTGTATGAACCGTGATGGAATTTCCAAAACTCTATTACTGCAACAAATCGACAGCAAGCAGTGCTGCTCTGCAAGGAATGAATAATTTCCTGTCAAGTTATTCCATCTTACTCAGCAACTGCTGGATCTTCCGTTCATACATTCATTAGCCAATCACGGACTGATTTCCCCCAGATGTCAGTTGGCCTGCACAAAACCGTCGTTTGACTCAAATTGATCATTGTACGCCTTTGTTGGTCTCACGAATCTTTCTCTTGCGTTACTTTGGGTATATACTTTCGTCTGTAGTGCAGTTCAACGAACTCAAAGCCCATCACTCCCTGTGAAAGGAAGAAGGTCCCTGCTGTGGAGTCATTTAATAGAGAAATACCAACTGAAAAGTTACAGACTGTTGGAGAGAGAAGTATTTGTTTACAATATCTTGTTTACAAAACTGAATAAACATCTTCTCCTTGAACGCGTCTTCCTAAACTTTTCTGGATATTCATTGACTGTTACTCAATTGCAAGCAGATGCTACAAAGCGACTGCACAAATTCCGTAAAAGATCTCACTTTTCAAGAGACAAATAGGATTTACGAGGAGACACTACTCGCATCCTCATCAGTAGTATCCACCGTTGGTCGCAGTACAAATACAGTAGGACAAAGATGATTTCTGACTACCATTCACCTTCAGTATAGTGCTCGTAAGGCGTGTTCGCAGTCAAACAGTGTCACTGTAAGACCAAAACTCCACGTCCTCCGAATTTCCACGAACCATTTTTTGTCTAATCTGCCTAGAGGTTTGTTTAAAGTCTCCTGTTTGCTCGGATTTTATCGCATTCCATCCATGCGCAAGCTAGGAAGAATTTACTGGCACAACATCCGCAGCGGGACATGAATTCCTGGTTTGTTGAATGGTGTGCATATTGCACGCATCATACCATTTATTTCAATCTTTATCAGATCATTAGTTGGTTTTTCACGTGAACTTTTAGCAGTACAGACAGAATGTTTAGAGAGGTCCTTAGGTTTGGACGACAATAGTTTTTTTTCGATATACACCAATTGTTCACCCACTTAGCAGGGAGCAAGACCACCAGTTGTTATTTTGGAGGGTAACTGCGAATCGGAACTTATCTGGTTGTCCCTCCGAATGCACAAGTAATAACATGCACAAGTAATGCCCTTTCGGTGCTTATCTGTCACGTCACCAGAAAGAAGCATGAGGGCTAGAATACTGCCAGGTTGCTCAAGCCTAGAAAGGGGAAGTCGAGAAGCAGAGATCGGGTTCGAACCACGGACCTTTTGGCCAGTAAATTCCAGTTCTAACCCCTGCGCCACCACGCCCTCGAATGTACAAACAGCTAGAAACTTTAAGCAATTCGAGAATTACACTCATTTGCAAATCAATTTGGTTTTTATGAGAGACTCAACCGAAGAGTTTTCGGCATCCTTGTGAGTAGTCTCCTTTATGTTAGAGCAACCATTTTTCAAACAGGACCAGAAAGGTGATCGAATAAAAACACGAATTGTTGTGGGGCACTTCGGTTTCTATCACGATGAACACCCATGGGAGTATGTGGAACCGGAAGTAAGCGGCTCTATTTCGCCTTGGAAACTTTCCTTCTGGTGGACTTTTAGAAAGAATCCGTTTGGGCCGATGAGGGAGGCAGTTTTCTGACACTCGTTGGCCGTAATTTTTCCTGACCAGTTTATGAAACCGGTTAAGAATTACTGTCCCCCCAGCCCCGATAAGAACCCGACTGTTGGGAATATAACTGATGGCTTACATCAGCCTTTCACAAGTCCTACCATGGCACACTGATTATGAATGACGTTCTGATTGATCCTAATATGCCGACCTCTTCTAGAAATGCATAAACAGTATGTGGTCCCTTATCCTTTCAACGACTAGTGTCATGGAACAAGAAACGATTTGAGCTACTCTGCCCTCCTCGCCCTGGGAGTTGTGAATCTGGCCTTGCTGTACTCCCTTTTAACTACATTCTTTGTACGAAGGTTGACTTTGCGTGTGCAAACTTGGAAGAGTAATTTGCTGTCCGAAGTCCCCCTGTTTCATCACACATCAGGCGTATTTGTTGGGCTTTGACTAGTGGATGAGGCAAATCTACATGTCTACAGAATATCACTTTATCTTTGTAATGTACTACTCATAGGGTTACTGAAAATCCGTCGACAGCCCACGACCGCTTCCGTCCTTTTTGGGGCTCATCAGGTAGCCTCAGTCCCCGGGTTTCCGTCAACCTTATGTTCTACCTTATGTTCCACTCAAACGAGTGAGACTCATCCAATATCACAAAGAAATCGGCTACGTGTCAAACAGGGCAATGACGCAAAGCTGGCTCATGTAGGGGGGCAGTTAATAAATGAATCCAAATTTGTTAGCAAAATACACTCATTTGCGAACTAGTTTGGTTTTGCGAGAGACTCACCTGGAACCCAGCTGAATCGCCCGTTTGTGATGTTTCCAGGCAACCGAATGTGCTGAACCAGGTTGCCTCATGTTTCAGTCGCTACGATATTCGAGATATCGCGATACATGTATATGCTTGTAATGCACTATTCACAAAGTTGCTGAAAATCCGTCGAAAGCCCACGACCGGTTTCGCCCTTCTTCGGGCTCATCAGGTAGCTATATTTGTAACGCACTACACAAGTAGAACATACGGTTAACGGAAACTAGGGGAGTGCGTCTACCTGGTGAGCCCTAAGAAGGGCGAAACCGGTCGTGGGCTGTCGACAAATTTTTAGCAATTCTATGAGCAGTGCATTCAACTTAGTGTTTATGATATTTCTATGAATGCCGACCATCTGAGATTTTGTTATAGAGAGTTATTTTTCTCAACCGGAAGTGACCAATTTTTCTCAAGTGTTCTACAGTTTCGATTAGACTAAAATAGATTTCCCGTCCCCTCGGTGCAAGCCCGGTTCTTGGTCTACTCCTGCTAAATAATTAAGGCTAAAGTGTATAATATCGCCTCTGATCTGGGACCGTTGTCTGGTTTGGTTTCTAACACTCCTACTACTTGTCTCGGTATCTCACTATGCACTGCGACTTGAACAGATTCGATAATCCTTTTTCGATGTCAACCGGTTTGGTAAATCCAGTGGGGCTCTCTTACCCCATGGTTTATGTAATTTCTTTAGTCTAACCATTCTGCTGTTCGAAAACGACCTCCGACTTAGGCTTCTAACCATTCAAGTCTAACTTCTTCTTCAACACTCTCTCCGGTTACATTGTTTCTCTCACAATAAAGGCGAAAGAGCGTAGTTTCAAACACCGTTTTAGCTGAAGTTGAACGGATGGTTCTGCGCCCCGCTATATTTTTCAAGATATATATATATACATATATATACATATATATATATATATATACTCATTGCAAATTGATCCGATGCTAACAAGAAAATCGACTGAAATTTCTGTGTCTCCCGTTTAAGTCATTCTTCAATTAAATCTGCTGTAAAGAGGGGTTTTAAATAAGTGCTGAGAATGGTAAAAAAAATCGGTGTAGATGGCTACCTGACGAGCTTTCAGTTGGTGATGGGCAAACCAAGACTGACATCTGATTTATAAAAGGTTCCAGATCAACTGAAATAATCCGATATCTTAGATATAAGTCAGACTGTCCATCGTTAAGCATATAAATAGTTTAAACAAGAGATTCTATCGAATTTCATTAGAATGTCTCTTGAGGCCAACTTAATTTTTCAGTGAACGTTTATCCTCAAAAGTTCGCCACTTTTTGATGATGATAAAGGCTTGGAGTAGGCCCCCGATGAGAGTGCACCACAAACGCAAAAGCATTTACAAACTGCAATGAACACAAACCTTCTACATGCTCGTGAATTAAGCGAGCATTTTTCACAGCGCGGTGCTTTCCACAGTCCTCTTTGCTTTTCTGCGTAATCAGGTATGTTTTATTTGACTGCTCGACCACCTTAGCACGACGAGTATGGTTTTGGTGGACGCTGAACTGAACCCCGCGTGCAAACGATACTTCTTGGTTGCCCACGCCAAGGAAAGGGGTTTGGTTGAGGTACCCCACCTTGAGCCTTCGACTCAAAGGTCTAACCCACAAGGCAGTGGGAGGACGTAGAGTTTTGTTCGGGGACCCTGACTCTAGCATCCGACTCAAAAGTCTGACCCACGAGGCAGTAGGAGAATGTAGGGTTTTCTTCTGTGACCCTGTATGGAGCAGACGACTTAACAGTTTGACCTGCTCGGCCGCATGGGGTTGGCCTAACCCAAGGGCGCAAGGAATAAGACATTACTGTCTCATTCCTGATGCGGCTGCGCACAGCAGGCGCCTTTTGAGCAGCACCGGGATCTTTGGCTTCAAAAGCATTTCGACCGTATTGGATAATGCGCTGGCGGTCACAGTAAACCGTTGGGCAGTTTTTGGGATCGACCTTTTCTAACCCATCCTTCCTCTGGAAGGCAGCATCGCTGCTTCCACAACTATGGACATGCTGGTCGCCTGGGGGAAACACCTTACTGCTTTCACACTCCTGTTGCAGAGAACAGTACGACTTTACCCCCAGACCGCCTCTTACCACGATTACCCGTAGTACGGAGTCTCGCTGCTGTTGGTCTGGCTGCTCCCCTTTGGCCTTCCTGGCATGGTTGCACCTTGTGGAACGAAGTTCCAGCCAGTGTAGTCTGCGGGATCACTGCAGCACTGAAGCCCGACCACCACGTCAAGGTGGCAGCTTTAGGTCGGGATGAGGCACAAGGTGGAATTCCTTTCGCCGTACATTTATTCTCTATCTGCTACACACAAAAACGTTGTTAAATGCCATTTAACCCAATAGCAGCCTGATAACCGAATCTTCTATTTGGTTTGTTACGCTCTCACAGGTCATGTTTAAATATCATGGATTATTCACAGACGTCCTGGGTGATTAAGGCGCCCGTTAGTATGGCAGATTATGCAAAATCACTTTTCCGGTGTTACTCACTCTCGACACAGATATCTTTCCAGAACTATTTCAGCATAGTGTACTTACCCACTTAACATCCTCACGTTCACAAATTGCTCCTTCTTTTCACACTGAGTCGCGAAGGGACCACAGTGGGAGCGTGAAAGTTTCATTCACTTGGAAACTACTCACAAGGTTGCTGAAAACTCCTCGACAGCCAACGACCGGTTTCGCCCTTCTTGGGGCTCATCGGGTAGGCGCAGTCTCCGAGTTTCCGTCAGCCTTATGATCTACTTGAACCCAAATTGCACTGTTTTCGAGAAATGCACTCATTTGCGAATCAATTTGGTTTTCACGGGAGACTCAATTGAATCTCTCGTTTATGATATCCTCCAGCTGAATGTGCTGCACACAGGCCGCTTGCAGCAACCTTGTGAGTAGTTTTCTTTATGAAAATATACTGCGATATTTCATTCACTTGATTTGACTGATCTACTGACGATTTGTCCACAAATTTCTACCTTGACTGTCTGCGTACATGATTCATGAGCTATTCAACTTTGTGCTATGAAAAATCTATTGTTTACCTGAGTAACTCAGAACGGTTCAAATAAGCGCAAGGAGTTTTTTTCGAAAAAATTCCCTGGCGGTCAAATTCCAACATTCTGTGCAATTCTATTCTCCGACATATGTATTCATTGACTGAAACCCACAAACTTTGTGCCAATCAGAAACAGCCCGGTAGGTGTGCAAGTTTTGGTTCACTGACTATACTTTTGGTCTGGTGCATTCATGGATTATTTAATGCTGGTAGAGTTGTGAACTACAATCAGAAACAGCCCGGTAGGTGTGCAAGTTCTGATTCTCTGACTATACTTTTGGTCTGGTGTATTCATGGATTATTTAATGCTGGTAGGGTTGTGAACTACGCCACGGGTTACTTTATCTTGTGTTGTAATTAATGTACACCAGCCAGTAGTAGCTTGATCCACCGCCAGACAGATGACGCATCCGACATAATAATTAACCTGTCCAGACACAGACGAACTGACGAGCATGTGTCGAGCTTTTTTCATATTAAAGATCAACAGAGTATTCGAGGGGAAAAAACTCGTAACCATTGGCACCCACATAGCTTGCCAACAAAAATTTTTCGTACACTGAAGTTTAACATAAGCATATTAGACGATTGTATACCCGTAGCCAGAACTTCCCCCGAGCCTCCAGGAAGCTGTTGGGGTAAACATTTGCAAAAATTCCAATGTAATGCCAGAAGATAGGTGCATTTGTACCATTTTCAACTTGTGAGCTCGATGCATAAGCAACGATCATGATTTGTACCAGAAATGGAACTGATGCACGGCGACGTTTCGTTTTCCTGGTTCGGAACGGAAATTCAGCTATAACGGTCGCTTCGGGGGGGGGGCAGGTTAAAGATAGGCTTGTTTAAAAAAGTGTGCAATATGTTATCAGCAATCGAGATGACACGATAGATTTCAAGCGTCGACTACATTTTGCTGACGTCATAACCCACAGAAACCGGTCAAAAACAAGCTTTGTTGCGCTCTGGAAAACTCTCATCCGATGAAACAACTTTAGCGCATTTTATTTGTGTAAAAAAATCTTCCCTGACGTTTTTTTCCAAATCCTTCATTAGCTGCTCGAATTCACCTGATTGTGATTGGTTCAAATCGTAATTGGTCCGTTATTAGCTCGCATCAGGCGGCCTTAGTTTGTGATACCCCGGTTATTTATCTGCAGTGCTGACTAAAACAAATGGATGACCTTGACCTGCGCGGTTGTGAAATGCTAATCACTACCGGTCGGAAAAATGGTGCCTAATATCCTAAGACATCGGGTAAAACATGAATCGTTGCATGTAGTTCTGCAGCTGAACTAATTCAATGAGTTTGCTAAAGTCTACACTGTGTGATGAACGCAAAATATACAGAAGTGTCATTCCTGTAATTAAATTTTGCTATGTATATCCAGCTTGACTGAACGAATGCCGAATTCTGTGTTCTTGTGCCTCGAAAACTGCCTTTTCAAGTTATCATCGCGGTAGACGTATTCATCATTCCTGTGGAAAACACCTTCCTCGACGCCTTTCCGAATCCTGCATTGGCTGTTCGGATCCACCTGATTATGATTGGCTAAACTTCTGATTGGTTCGTTAGTAGCTCGTATCAGTTGCTCTAAGTTTGAGGTACCCAGATCGTTCATCTGCATTACTGACTAAAATGGATGACATTGGTTTGCACTGACCTTCAGCTGTGAAAAACTGATATGAATGATTGACAAGATTTGGGCTGGATTAGGACAGTTATCGGATGATCACGTTGCTTGTGACAGGCCCTGCATTACATCCTACGGCACAGTCAGGAATGGTAGAATACATTGTCCATGTTAATCAGCGCTACTGGAAATTTTCTTGTTAGAAAGGACACATCAGGAGATTTGGCTACTCGTAAGTAGCCAAGTGCTTATTCCCAGTTGTTGATGGTCATTATCCTTCGTGACCTGAAACTGGAGATGAAGTATCAGATTGCCGACTCCCAATGCTTATTCACAATGCGCTCGGTCCCTGGCAGAAGCCGCCAAGAGATGCACCATGCAGAGTTCACAACAAGCATTTCCGACCAAATATGCACAGGATCTCCTGTCTCGGAAGGGGTAGATAGCCTACGTACCCTCCTTCACACAGGGCGATTCCACCAGCAGGCGAAGGCCACAGATCCCGTGGCGTACGGGTCCGATTGGTCTGAAATTCAAACAAACGCTGAAATGGCTCCTAAGCTGCGGAGAACCTGGTTAAATTGGCTGAATAAATCTCCCCTCAAAAGGAGAATCTCACTGTCACTATTGCATGAGCTTTTGGCTTAACCTCATATCATAAAGGATTAAATAAAACTTGTCTTACTCCTTCCCAAAGTTTTATTTTTGAATCTTCGTTTCAGACGCCCCTCTTCGTGTTGCGTTTTACTGAACGAGTAGGTTGACCATGTTTACCTAACGAGGGGGCGAGACGGCTCATTCTTAAGAGCGCAAATTAACTAATCAGGTCCGTGATTCTAACCCGACCTCTGCATCTCAGTTTCCCCTGTCTAGGCTTGGACAACCTGGCAGTATCCCATCCCTCGTGCATGGCAATTAGGCGCCGAAAAGGTGCTAGAGCTGAACCACTTTCTCACCGATCGATATAATGTATGCTGTCCGATGGGTAGATTAGCAAAACTCAGCAGGGAGTATGCGGACTTAGTATCCAGTGTTTAGGCGAAATTATCAAGAACAGGTTGCCCATACTTGTAAAAAACAACTTTAAAATAAATAAATAGCAGAGCGGAAGCTATCAACAGGTCTGGCCCAGAATTCGTTTCTTAATATCATCCGACACAGGTCCAGGGTACAAGGGCAGACAAACAGCCTGGGAGTCCGACTAAGACAAGACAGTTTGTAATCCGAGTACTTTGTGTACTACGACTTGTAGGGCTTTCATCGAAGCGTGACTAGAGTCAAGTGGGCGGAAAACCCTCAACAATTCTCCATTTGACCGTGGACGGTTTCAGTTTGCACTGCTTTATCGTGTTCTATTTTCCTGGACACTTTTTCTAGTGAGTGCTACAAATGGAAGTCAACACACTACTGGATGGGCGGTGGTTAGCTATTCGCTGTATATACCCCAAGCACAATAAGTTGACAAACCCTGTTTGCTGTCCTATGGACTCTGACCTGTTATGCACTGGCCAGAAAGTGTTTTGTGGTAGAATACAACTAATCTAGCAAACGCCGCCTTTTTGCAATCGTAAGACCATCGATTGCGCTGCAACATAACATCTGACTCTGATATCACTTGGATTAAAGCGGAACGAATCAAATATTTTTAGGATGGTTAGTTGAGAATCCTTCAAAACATGGTGGATTTTGCCGCCATCGATTTTTTTTCATATCATCATATCGCATGCATATGACTGAAAGTTTCCGTGGGAAGGAACAGGGTCAGTGGAAATTGACGGACGCTATTCAGACATTTCTCTAAAGCGGCAACCTATCTTCCAAAGAAGAGATGTTTCCAATAAGTTGCACTAAATTTATATTTAGAGCGAAACACAAGGAATACTGCCGAAACAGACCATCTCTACTTGATAAACCTTAAGGGCGTGAAACTGGTAGTAGACTGTTCGGAGTTTTCGTCGTTACTGAGTGTACTACTGACAAGTCTACTGAGTAGTTTTCCTCATAAAAATAATACATGCAGGATCTCTGAGCAAGTTTATCATAACCCAGAAAGCTCACGTGATTCTCGGGGAGAAATGACCTGAATGCATCCTCTTGCACAATGACCTTTCTTTGAAAGGATCAATATGACAGAATGAGTCACTTTCATAAATAAGTCTCCACTGGCATATGAGAGATGGAAGTTGATTATTTACTTCAGACAACTTATATCACTTATACGAACATGTTTTTTGGTCCAATGTGAATCTTCTAATATTTTTTTCGGAAGGCTGAGCGCATCATGTACTCATGCAAAAAGCCTGAATTCTCTGTACTTTTAATTAGGAGTGAGGTTGTACTTTACCTTCTCTTGGTCCGTTTTTCCAGCTGGAAAATTCCACTACAGCGTTGGTTGTCTTGAAAACTGCACAAGAATCCTACCGTGTTATCAGTAACAGATGCATTACTTTCAAATGGAAACTAATCAAAAAACCCGCATTTTGAAAAAAAGACAATACCTTAAGGCGAAAGTCAAACCCCTGAATTATGAGTCTAGTTACAATGGCCGTAGAGTGAAGTGCTCGTAAGTTAATCAGAACGGGAACATGATCCGTTAACCCTACGGGGGATTCCCCTGGGTGGCCGTTAACGAAGACTAAGAGTGCCTACGGGGATAAACGCGGTAGTTATGGACTTAATGTCCCATGATTACATCAACATTTGATCATTTTCTTGGGTTGAAAGTCCTCTAAGAGTAGGTGCTGCTCTAGAGCACAAAACAGATGATCAAGCCGGCTCAATCTATGAAGTTTCGTCAGCCCAGCTAAGTCACTAACGCAATACTCTGGAGATCTAAACCGATAAGTTGACACCTTTTCGAAAGTAAATAAAATAAATGAATCGTTCAGCTGTCATACCCTTTCGGTGCCTGGCTGCCCAAACTTAGACGGGAGCAGTCGAGGTACTGAGGTTAAGTTCAAACCGAGGACCTTCTGGTCCGAAATCTAACGCCATAACCACTGAGCCATTTCAAGTTCCTGTTTCGAAACTAGGTGCATAGGATGATCGTACTCTACCATCAGTGATCGGGTTTTCGAATCACCTGACAGTATAAAAGGTGGTCCACCATTAGAAGATAAACAAATGTTTACGTGGAAGCCATCGGCACACATTAATAGAAGCGACCATAATCTTTGCTCTTTGGGGTGTAAGTTCCCCCATATCTAGCCTATCGAGATTATATTGGCCGCTCAATTGATTTATTTGCTAACCAGACACTACTTACAAAGCTGTTTTAAACTCTTCGACAGAGCACCACCGGTTTCTGCCTTCTTGAGGGTCATCGGTTAGGCGCGATTTGCTACTTTCCGTCGACTTTATGTAATATTTGAATTCAAAATGCACGAAATTCGACAGATACACTTATTTGCATACTGATTTCTGGCAACTCCCGTGAATCGAAGCAGAATATCTTGTATCTAATGTTCCAAAGCAACTAAGTATGCCATACCATACACTGTTCTCGTTTGTACACATGCAAACCATAGCAAATGTTACTATTTTCATCAATGTTGTCATTGGTCAGAACCAAATATTTCGGAAAAATGCTACCTGGGCGCTTGTAATTCACAGATTTTAGGGCTGGTGGAAATTACTCCCTAAAACTTCCAAAACACTGCCTAAAACACTGCCTTTCACTCCTACGTCATGTGAATGCGGATAAAAGACGTCACTGAAGGTCAAAATTTTATTCTCAGTCATGAGAAGTAAAGGATACGAATTGCATTTTTTTAAAGAGTTAACAACAAGGGTGAACGGCCAGTGATAATTCCAGGAACGTGGAAACCAGGTACGCTGCTTTAGAAATTTTGTATGAACGGAAGTGGTTGGTGGTCAGTACAGCACCGCTGATGATCATGGGGTTCTGCTTGCGTAACATCTGTCAGAACGAAGGCCGTGGATCGACTCGGTGATTAATCGGTGACAAACGAGACAGGTTCATCATCCGACTGTGACACTTCGACACTCAGCTACGCCATTTCCCAACTGTGATGTACGTCAAATTGTTCTGATGAATGTCGATTTGTTCAGCCACAACTGCAAACGAATCGATTGATAATGTGAACGGCGAATAAGTTCAATGAAATGCATTCGTGTTTCTGGAGGCCGATTCCCTTAGTAACTTGAATCAACCGCCGTTGCACAGCATTGAACACTCGTCTTAGAATCCACGTCGAATTGGGTTTGATGTCGCTTGCCAGTCGGCTACCCCTGAACTGCAAAGTGGATGAACAAGGTCCTTCTTCACTGAAGCCATTTGAGGTACTACAGCGATTATGAATGGCATGGTCATTAGAGATTGGGAACGTATTTTCTTCAAATTGTTTCTTTTTTTCAACTGATCCGGGCATTTTGACTTGTGCATGCTTGCATGCAGATAGGATGTGTGCTTTAAACGGGCTTGCAAAGACATATCTTCGAACCTAATCACCTTCACAAAAGTGAAACCGTTTTGTGGTTTACCTCTAGACAGCGCCAAATATACTGCGGAAGCGGTTGAAATGTTTGCCCGCTAACGTTTTAGCGGGTAAATATTTTTGAAAAAAAGTCCTTTTAGCGCTTAGCCCAATAGACCACCGTCCATCTGTTAGCAAGCTAGGATGGGTCCCTTAAACATGGAGATAAAAGTTTGCGGATGGAGTCCAAAGTAAACAAGAATTTTCGTTGACACGCTGAAGGAAATGAAACCGTTCGAGGAAGAATGGCTTGTAGCCTCATCAAGTGCGAAATCGTTCTCCCGCTAGAGATAAGTGCCTTTTTTCTATGCATGTTATGACTCTAATGAACTGATAAGGCCTTCGTAGGTTACACAACACATATGAACTTGGGTTGGTTGGACCAAACGAAAGCTTTGTGACAAGACAGTTTGCACTCCCATTATTTTAGGTATGCGAAGAACTGTAGAACGTCTTCTAATCTGATGTCTGTCGGGGTCAGAGCGCGAATTTCTTGACCGGAAGGTCCCTCGGTTCGAACCCGACCTCTGCATCTCGGCTTCTCCTGTCTAGGCTTAGGCAACTTGGCAGTACCCCAGTCCTCGCGCTTCCTTCTGGTGGCATGGCAGCTAGGCACCGAAAGGATTTTGCAGATAACTGACTGCTCTATTTTTTAACGTCCCTAGATGTCATAATTTACCTACTTTCCGTTCTGTTAAAACATTGTCCATCTGTACAATAATTTGGCCTTGATCACTTTTGTCACACTCCCTTAGAAAAACTGCTCTTTCGTAACCTTCATTTAAGTCAATTTAATCAATCCGATCCAATCCAACACGTTTTTGATGTTTATAACCAGTCAACCACCAGACACCGTAACATTTATCGGTAAAACTGAACTAGATGTTTCATTCAGATCCATTCGTTCACACCTTTATAAAAGTGCAAATTGACAACTCCCTGGAACACTCGTTGCTTTCCTAGACGTACAGGTGACCATTTTTAGTGAATATGCATACATTCATACCAACAAGGATTGTGGTTGACGAAAAACCAACCAAGCCCAGAAGTTTTGTGAAAGCTTACGGATGAGTGAGTCGCGTCGATCAACATTAGGACCATCTGTCTAGTTAGGTGTAAAGCAATTTGGGGCTGTTCCACTATAACAGCACGACATACATCCATTCATTGAGGTGCACCATAGAAGGATCGTGCTTGCCGAGGACTTTTATCACGGCTTCTGGACTTTTCCGTTTTTTGATGCCGATCTAAACAAACGCTACAATGTTTTTTTTGTCGAACTTTACTTTATTCATTGCCAAACATCCGTGCCATCGCCTTTTTGATCAACGAATGTGTCATTTTCTGTCACTCAGAATCATCATGAGTCACTCGATTATTCATCGTCAAGCGAACAATTCTGTCTTGGTTGATTGGTTCGAAAATCCAACTGGAGATGTGTGACAGACTGGAGCCTGTCTTGTCAAACTATTCGCTTCAGCCTAAGATAACAATGAGTGCAGCATTCTGTTCCACTATAACAGCACGACATACATCCATTCATTGAGGTGCACCATAGAAGGATCGTGCTTGCCGAGGACTTTTATCACGGCTTCTGGACTTTTCCGTTTTTTGATGCCGATCTAAACAAACGCTACAATGTTTTTTTTGTCGAACTTTACTTTATTCATTGCCAAACATCCGTGCCATCGCATCGCATTTTTTGATCAACGAATGTGTCACTTTCTGTCACTCAGAATCATTATGAGTCACTCGATTATTCATCGTCGAGCGAACAAGTCTGTTAGTGTTCTTGAAACTGGTTCGAATGTCAAGAGAAACTGTGTAGAAAAGGGAATGAGTGACAGGAATAGTTGTAAACAGGTAATGCGTGTGTGTGGTCAGATTATGACCACTTGGTGGGTGTAACAGAAGTCGTATCAAGATGTCAAGCAAAATCACCCGTGAAATTAGCCAAAACGCTTTGTCGCATTAGGTTTGAAGGTGCTTGTTAAAGATTCTACTCAACACGTTTAGAATTTAGGAAAGCTAACTTAATTAGGCTCGTTGGGAACCTAAAAGTAATGCACTGATTCCAACGCAGGTGATGAACTTTAAAAGTCCATTCAAAACTCATTTACTCCTCAAAATAGACGAGTCAGTCACAGGAGACTAGTGAGTCCATGAAAAGGACAGAAGTTAGTTCGCAAAATGCAAATGTTGCGAAATATGCGGCGACACTGATGATCTCGTAGATACTTTTGTTCGAACACAAATTTTTGGAAGTATGATTGTAAGATCCGAGCGGTCATGCATCTCACAGGACGATTGCGGCTATTGGAGTGTATGCAGTTCGTAGCCAGTAGTCAATAGGAGCAGACAGACGTGGGCAGCAGATTGTGTACTGAGGACTGACTGGAACTGGTTCTACAGGCAAACGGTTTAGTAAGCATCGTGAATTAGGTAAACTTACAATCAATAGTGACGCGATCAGCCGGGGACGGAAAATAGTCAAAGAGGCAGCACGGACTTCTAGAAGCAACAACAAGTGAGCACTAAACGATGTACAAACATACACAAGGGGGCAGTCTTACAGTGTGAGTTGGACGTATAGAGAGATAACGGCGCAGGAATCAGTACGTTTGGGATGTGAGGGACTGTCTTTCGGTTGGCGGCGCGATGCGGCAGCTCGTGTCACGTGACAGGTCAGATTACGCGTTTAAAACAAGTCTCGCCAAAGGCTATCTGGCAGGCGCGGTACATCGGTAGTACTAAGCCGTCCCGGGCGTCACGTTGGTGTAGTGGGCAGCGCGTTCGCCTACCGTCCGGGAACTCTGGGTTCGATACCCGGTCGGTCAGCCTTTCCGCACGAAAATAAGTGCAACCGAGACGAACTTGTAAGTAATGACGGACGGGCAGCAAAATACGGACATCAATTGCTGAAGAATAGGAAGATCTTAAGAATGAACGGAACAGAGAGGAAGGAGCAGCAACGAAACAAACGAGCCTCATAATAAGCATGCGTGAGGCACGTTACTCATGAGTAGTCAGAAAACAAGGAAAGTTATCGCTGTTAGCCGTTGATTCACAGGGGGGAATCAACAATGACTGTCGAACGAAATGAACCTCCACACAAAGTTTATACGGGTTTTTCTGTCCGACGTACCGTGAAGAGTATGAATACATCTTGCCATCCAAGCTTGAGCGCAGTTGAGGTGCTTTCATATGTCAAATAAAGTTGGATGATTCACCAAGAGAACCCGAAGATATGGAAAGTAGTGACTGCCAGATTTTTGTCTTTTAAAAATTAGAAATTTTTGCAAAAGGCTTCATTTGGAGTTTTCTGGAGGACCTTTGCCTACACAGGAGAGATAACCAATAAGAATTAAGCTCTGAAGTTTGTTTTAATTCCGTTCCATGCGTGTAACTTCCTCAGAGCTGTCAACTACCTACATTTCAAAGTCCTTAAGCATTAAATTTTGAAATATCAGCGGAAAAGTCAGTCGGTTTGCTGACTGAATAACCCCAACCTAGTAGAATCGCTGCGCGTAGATTCCGTGCGCATTCCGATCCCACGCTTATCTGTGTCCGCATTCTCTCACTGATTGTTCTCTTTTTTTGTACAGCCGTTCAAATTAGTTATATAAAATAATAATATAAGTCATACGATCAATCACAAAGACCAGTCTGTTTGGAACCGTATGATGGTAACCTGTCCAGGACAGGAACTATTAACAAGGTACTTGCAAGTTTCATACTAAAGTACATCCCAGATGACTGTTAACCGAAGGAAGCTTGTACGGAATACTTTAGAGATTGCAAGACAAAAGCATTTCGAAGACAACTTAATTTCTACAAGAAAGAGAAACGTATCAAAATTTTACCGTTTAGCCATTCTAGCTACGTCTTGTGAAACTAAATTGTAGCCTTTAGTTGACCCACCGACAACGTGGGGCACACGCCACCACAGTCTCAGTACAAGCCTGTTGTGATCATTCTATGTGGTGCCCGCCCTCTCTCCACTGCTACAGGCAACTCGGCCCACCGAAGTAAAATGTAGCTGACTCGAAGATTCGCTGTTGGACGCACGCTCAGACTCACAGCTCCACTACACTGAGTGAGCAATATTCAGAGATCATTTAAAGGCAACTCATTGAATTCCATCCCCAAAACTTACTGCCATATGGCCGAACACCGTCAATCTTACCGCCATCGCATATGAAGTTCTGTCTTCTGGCATAAACAAAACGGTTAACACGACGCACCTCGCATTCATAAGCTTCAATCTCCTGGCCAACGCAGTAGATTGTAAATATCACCAGCGTTTCTCACTTTTTTGTCGTGATCGCAGCTCTTTTGGGGGGTATTGAATGCTAGTTAGGCAAGCAACGGTCGCCGTAACTCAGGTTCTCGACGTAACACACTACTTACAAGGTTGCTGAAACTCTTCAGCAACCTGCAACCAGTTTCGCTCTTCTTGGACTTGATCCAAACAGTGTCAAGTGATGGAATCTCTCCACATTCAAGAAGACATTCGAAAGCCAGGAGAATCAGTAACCCCCACTCACTTTAGGTAGCCATCGCTGTGATAAGTTCAAGCTCCATTTTAATCGACTGTAGGTAACGCGCGCTTGCCAACGTTACATCGTTTTACCGTTAAATAATATGCTAGCCATATACCGGGCGAATAAGTTCGTGGTTTACTTTGGTCTACTGAACTGCCCATCTGAATTACCGTCTTGGCTAGCAAAGTCCTATCCACACAAGAATAGAAATGTGCCGGAAGCGATCTCTATCTTAGAAGCGGGATGACAACCTGAATTTGTCTCCTACAAAGTACTGTCGCAGCGTTGGAAAGGTGATGTCGCTTCCCATTTTCTCAGTACTAGTGAATTATGCTCATCAATATTACTCCCGGGGAAAATTGTATCCTCCACGGCCTTACGTCTGTTCATCATTGAGAACTCGTCATACTTATCTCAGTGCCAGATCAAGTTCAGAGTGGCGTCTTGCGTCCAACGTGAATCGAACCACTTTTCCAATTGGCTGCCTCTGTGGTGCGTACGAAACTGCGCGTCTGTAGCACGTGACCGTCACGTGATTCGAAGCGACAAATGAACCGTGTGCAGTAGGTGCTTCACAGATTGTCTAACCATGTACGTGTTGAAACTGGATTCAGTCGTGGCGGAAACGACGGCAGGGAAACATATTAACACAACCAGTACCTTATCATAAACACCTGAGAGGAAAATACAATCCAGGTAATACGATCCAGGTATCGCCTCCTGTGCAACCGGGACGTTTGGTACTTTCCCAAGCCTTGTGCATGACGCGGGTGGTTGTCCCTTTGTATCCAAGCTGAAGAACAACTTTTTTTTCAAGTGAACTAGTGTATAGTGTAGCGGAATGGCTGGTTTGTAATCGAATTGATTCTTAGAAGTCAGAAACAAATCGTTCCCGAATTCCGCGGCAGCTTCTGTAGGTGAGTACTTGAAATGAAAAAAATAGCTACTGTTTTTGTTTTCATCTTAATCGGTCACTCAAGCGAAAAGGCGAATTTGAAATACTCAGACCGTGTAGCAGAACGAAAAGCAACCATCAGCGAAATTATGGCCGATGATTCCGAACGCCAACTGGTAAACAATCACCGTGGCATGATCCCACATTGTTTTTGCATCACAGATTAACGACGGTTTCCTGCCTCTGATAACAAAAATCGATTGAAATCTTTCCCCTCCCACAGAGTAAGCAGTGTTCTATGTTTCAGTCTGAGCACTTTCACAGTCACATTTTTAGCCATCCCATATTGATTCCACTCACTCACCTTTCTGAATCATACATTGGTATTCTAGCGTCATTTTTGTTGATTACAGTTTGATCAGTTCTTCAAAGTAGTGCTTCCCGAGCCTGGGAAATATATAATTGAAGTCAATACAGTGCTTCGATCCTTGTTTTTGGACCATACTTGAACAGTCAGGAACTTTAACACATTTCCAAGATTCATACAACGTTCTCCTCTTAGCATTTTTTCCTCACTTTTCTTCCACAGATGTTAATTGGGACATCACCTATTTGTTGAACCGGCGGTACGAGATAGCCAGGGCAGATGAGGACTTTCCGATTGTCATCCAGCCACCCGCTGACGGTACGCTCTACCACGTCCCCGCAATGCGACTGTTCCCCGAGGCTCAGCTGCCAAACGACACCTTCTTCATTCATATGTTATTCAAACCTCAAAAAGAGTCGCTGGAACATGGCGTCTATCTGTTTTCCATCCGTGATCCTGACAACACCTTGAGGTTCAGTTTGCAAGTGGTGCATGTGAGTTGAGCTATCACACAAGTGGTGTTCTTTTGTATGGTAAAATTAGGATGGAACGAAGGAAACGGATGAGCGTTCTTTGCCATGATCGAACGGCTAGCTCGTAGTTGCTATGCTTTATCAGTAGGCCTTTTATCATGCATTGAGGAGCTATGAATGGTGGAAAAAGCTGAACCGGTCATTCAGGAGTAAGCAATCTAAGCGATTTAAGTTTCCAGAGATAACTCAGTGAACAGAAAGGACACGAACAATCCGAACAGCCAATCCTTGCGTTCTATTTCACCATTATATCACCCACACAAACCGTAAACCGTTAGACGGTCATCTGAACAAGGACACACAACTCTGCAAAAGTTTTCAACCTAGAAGATTAGCCGATAATCCACTGAGAGGAACCACGCTTACTCTGAGGTTTCCAAGCTCATAGTCCCCTTACCCGCTCCACCTCTTCACCGTGGTCTGGTCCAGCTTTTGGGGGGCGAGAACTGTTTCATTCGTGTTTCTATTTATTTCCACCGTTTTTCACTTCGATGGGGAATTTGTTCGCTGTCACAACACAGTGCCAGTACACAGCTGTCAACGCGTACACGTCACCAAAACAGGCTAATGACACGTACGGACGAAACAAAACTCGTTTCTGCCCTGAAAAACAGCCTGGTGAACAAAACTCGACTGAATGATTTAAGCTGTCACTGTCTGGCGCTGAATCCTTCTCGATGAGACGGAGTGAATCATGTGACAGTTTATTCGCAGAACTGTAGTGCGAAAGAGGAAGATGGGAACAAATTACTTTTCTATATTTGTCAGCAGCTAGAATGGGGAATTTTTCTTGATCATAGCTGAACCGATTGATATACAAGGAATTTGGGGCAATGTCCCATTGTATTTCATCATGGGCCACTTATCACTGCAAGATAGTGTTCAGTACGCGAACTAGCTGCCTGTATCGAGCAAGGTCGAATACCGACCTGTGGAGAGGCGGGACTGAATGACCGAAAGGGTCAGAGAACGATAAAGATTATGCGTGGCCGACCAATCGAACGAATTCGATGTACATCGAGGCAGAAAACTTACAATCCGACGAGAGGGTGTTGATAAAGCTATGGGGATAAGTCGCGTACTGCTCCAAATCAACTGATAAGCAACACATGTCTTATGAACCGTGACAGTTCGTACAGCAATTTCCACACTGTACACTACTCCATCGAAAGAATCTATTTCATTGCACTTTGAACATATTCGAAACAGTATCAACTGGCTCACGAATCACATCACCTTGAATCAAACTACTCGAAACTACTTAATTCGCGGGTGAAAACAATTTCACTATCCATGTCACCGTTTTTTGCTCGATTTTTTTAGGCAAAACCAAATGGCTGGTTGTTACACGTGTACGTATTTGTTCTCCCTTCTGATGCCATAACTCATGTGCAAAACAAATCGATTGGCATACAGCAATTGCCACTGAGAAGCGATATTCTTTGAATGAGTTTAAATCGATTCGCCTGGTCACCTGGATCAACACGGTCAACACGTAGCTTCGATAGATCTCAGAAAAACTGACCCAAATTTGAAGTCCCCTGCATTAACTCAGATCCCTAGAGAAATGTTCATTCTGCAGGAGAAAACACAACTTGATTTTGTGGAGTTTGGCGCTCTTAAGAGAACTAATGAATATTGATCGGCTTTAAGCTTTACTGCAGTCAGTAATAATGAACCCCGTTGCTCTGGCGCCAGGCTCAAACACAACTTGATTTTGTGGAGTTTGGCGATCTCAAGGGAACTAATGAATATTGATTGGCTTTAAGCTTTAATGCAGTCAGTAATAATGAACCCCGTTGCTTTGGCGCCAGGCTTTGTTTGGTTTCAAAGAAAGAACATTTTCAAAGTAACTCAGGATAGGCCCTCTGTAAAGTTACTGCGCATACTATACTTATATATATATATACACATTTATATATATACTTTTACGGTGAAAAAAAGATAAAAGTTTGTAATTTGTGCACAGAAAAACTTCATAAAAGTTATCAATGAGACAGGTCAAAAAAGTTACCCCAGAAGTGCAGACGGTGTGATAGATTTCGCAACCTGGGTTTTATATCTGACTACTTTTCACGCTCCGGCATCTGGTGCCAGAAAAAGATGGGCCGACAAGGAACACAACAGCTTCATTGCAACAAGTGAGGATGCGAAAGTACAACGGCCTCGTGCCATATACTGAAGGGCGCCATTTGACCTTGATCCAAGGCTGCCTGATCGGCCTTTTAATGGAAGGGACGCGCTGTAGCTTACGACGATGTTTCCTGCACATCTCTGTAAGTACTGAGTCAGTTGGACATGTTCACGATTTAGGCGCGTCACGATAAAACGACACTGGTGGGCGATCAAACGAAACTTCGACCTTGAACGGTGGATTCTGGAAAAACAGTAGTTCTCGACCGCTTCAACTTCAACCGACTGATCAACAGTACCGTAGTCCGATTAATCAAATTGTGTTTTGGCGAGTAAAATATCCTAGCAATCACTTCTGAATTTGTTTAGGCTTACTGAGTTTAGACGTCATACCTGTAAGCTCCATAGAGTCTGAGCCTACGACATATGAGTAGTAACTTTCTAAAGGTCGAAACCCTGCTCACTTGATTCTAGTGTGAATTTTTGAAGCTTTTAACATCTGTTAGATGTTTTTCTATACAGTGAATGAACACATAAATATGTGAACTCAAAACAATGATCCGACAGCTGTGTACCGGTTTGAACTTCGATTGCGGAACTCATTTACCGAAATATCAGGACCGGTCTATTTCTCCAGGTTCGGTTAGATAAATTTGGGAAGCCAATACGTATTGCATTTCGAAAAACTACTGAATAAACTTCGGCGAAAGGCAGTATCTAGAACTGCGGTAGCAATGGTGCAAAAAGAAGCGGAAAGAAGCTCGTTCGTTTTTCAGTCATCTAGCTCACTCTTTTTTGTCGACGTAAGAACGTGTGCTTGTGAACAACCTGTTCGACTACCTTAGAAAACTTATAAAAAGATTAAACTCTTTTGTGACGCAGCCCGGTTACAATAGAGAGAGATGATACAAAGTCAAAATGCCGCCAACATGTTCGATATTTCGGCAACCGCAGGTGGTCCGCTTTGGGAATTACCAGCCTGACATCAACCGTTACAAGAACTAATCCAGCTGACCGGTCAAAAAGTGTTCTTATGGAAGTAATTCTCACTTAATTTCAGCTTGTATTTTTGTAAACCTAGTTATTCCACTCATGATGAAGGCACTCTGTCATGATTAAACGTCGAGCATACTCCATCCTGTTGCAGCCGTACTGCGTTCCAGAACCGTTTAAATTGACTGTGCTGTGAGTACTGGTGTAACGGTGATACTACTGACGGGGGAGGCATGCGAGTAGTATGTTTTCTACATGTAAATTCGCTTTGCGTCTCTTGAAAAGGGAGATCTGTTACGGAATTTGTGGAATCGCTTTTTAGCATACGCTTGGATCTGAGCAACAGTCAATGAAAATTCAGGAAAGTTTAGGAGGACGCGTTCAAGAGAAGATGGATGTTCAGTTTTTGTAAATAAGATGCAAATGAGAGTGTTGTTTCCCTGTCCATTAGTCTGTAACTGGTGGGTTGGCATTTTCTAATAAACAACTCCGCACCCAAGGTCCGAACATCCACACCCTCAAAGGGTCGTGGCCACGGGATCTTCATCCTTTTCCTGGCGACGGCACCAAATGAAAGGAAGAAGGCCTTTGATGCGGAGTTATTTATCAGAAAATGCCAACTGACCAGTTACAGACTATTGGACAGGGAAGCAACAATCTCATTTGCATCTTATTTACAAAAACTGGACATCCAACTTCTCTTGAACGCGCCTTCCCGAACTTTCCTGGATATTCATTGACTCAACTCATACATTGCTCAAATCCAAGCAAATGCTACCAAGCGACTCCACAAATTCCGCAACAGTTCTCACTTTTCCAAGAGACGCAAAGCGAATTTACAAGAAGAAAACATACTACTCGCGTGCCTCTCCATCAGTAGTATCACCGTTACACTTGTTTAGTCTATGAGGTGGCCTTTTTGGACAAAGAAAAACGGCACAGCTTGATACTGAGAGATTAGATTGAAAAAGCATTTGTAGCACATGCTACCGTATGATGAATGTGGCTTGTTTGGGGCCAACGGAAAAACGAATACCGAATCTGCTTACAAAAGTTAAAATGATGCTAAAGTTCGTTTGATACTCTCCGGAAACCTTCTGGGGTTTTATTAATGGGGTCTAAACCCAACTGAGCACATGACCATTCGTATTATAAGAGGTTTGGTTGTCCCTTAGATTTAGTGGCACACACACGTGATCGAACCGACGGATCACGTGATTTAGCGACCAGTCGATCTCTAATCGATGGAGTCATTCAGAGACATGAGGTCAGTGATGAATATCCATTTGGGCGCTGTAATCGAACGCCGTTCCTTCAGGATTAAGACACCACCACCTGAACCTTTTCTGGTCTGCCAATATTCGTCACTTTCCGGTGATCATTACTGTTCGAACAGATTGTGGCTACCCCACTAACCTGTCTCTCGTTTTGATCACGCCAAGTGGTTTGATAAATAAATGTGCTTAGAATCGTTAACTATTGGTCAGAAAAGCCATAATTTTAACTGATAATGAGCACTTTATGGGTAAATTAAGGGTGTGCACCTGAACTTCCGCGCTAGGCTATGCTTTTTCGTTCAGTTTGATCATTGGTTGTCTCAGCTAGTAAGTGGAGATTCACGAATCAGTTAATCCTGATCCTCACAGTCACCTAGGTTGCGATGTGGCCATCTGAAGCCAGTCTGGCTAACAGTCCGCGTCCCCTCATCTGCGCGAGTGGGTGGGTTTTCACGGTCCGCGACTTTACTGACGCACGGTACATCTTCTACATATTTGGCGCGAGGCCAATACGTCCTACTATTTTAAAAAACCGTCGCCTAATACCCGGCCAGTATTCATCTTAAGGATCGATTCAGTGTTTTCAAATATTGAGGACAAAACTGGCCTGCTGGTTGAAAAACTACAAGCTAGAAATTTCAGCTCCAATGCACAGTTTCATGGCTAACACGCATAAAACTCCTAAAATGTATGGCTTACCCAAGACTCATAAACCCGGACATATTTTACACCATGTGTAGACCACCCATTCGTTCTATTGCACTGTGTCGTATTACGCGACACATTTCAATTCGCTGAACGAATCACAGGCCTGAACACTTCAGACAAAAACACCCTCCCGGGCACAAACAATTAAATGAGACCGTTATTTTCTGAGATCAGTTAATTGGACGAAATAAAAAAATTCCGCTCTCGGTTACATCCCTGAAGAAACCGTTCCGATCCACCACGAATGTTAACCGTTGACTAGTACCGACAGATTGACGAGCAGCCGTCGGCTAATCTATTCTCCTAGCAGACGTGTGTGTGTCCGGAACGTGAGAGTTTAGGACAAACGATCCGCGGATGTTCTCTTCATCACGGTTATGCCGTGATATTTCTGTCTTACAGACCGAGGGGCTGCAAATTTCAACACCGCTTGTCCGAATCTGATTTGAACCCATGAGTTAGACCGATACAATGTTATCCCAGTTCTGGGGGTTTTATTAACGCGCTGCAACAGTGTTTCACTCTCCCGGACTTACCTCGTAAGCTTGATTGTGTTGATTTTTATCTCTCCACTACAGAGAAAGCAAGCACCAGTCAGATGTTCCGAGCCATGGATCCACAAAATCTGCTTGCGTGCGGTGTCCCTTGTCATTGAAGATGATATAACTGATACAGTGCCACTGTACTGAGCTTGAAAAAGAATGATTTGAAAACCATGGTTCACTCTGAAACAGCTTGTTTCAGCAATCACAAATTCAGTCGAACAACTCCCCAAGGTGATAAAAACCGTATGAAGATGTCGATTCACTCGGAAAGTCCACGCATAACTGCATTTGCAGTCAGTGTTACACAAAGCCTGGGGAACCGTAAGATTGCAATGAATCCATTATGTTAGTTTGTTCTGTAAGTGACCATTTTGCTAACGAAGAAGTCGTGGATGAGTTCGCTGCTGACACAGCAGGAACAGTGGCAAACTAACTTAGTAACATCACGTTCCAATGGGAAATGAATGGTCATCACATTCGTCTCCCTTCTGTTTTCGATGGTATTACGCGACTGCATCCACAACAGTTTCCTGGACACAATATACCGGCTATTCCAATTCTTCAATGGAGATTTTGCCCTGTCAGTGAAGTCACTCTATGCTGAAAAGTACAAAAGTATTGTACAGCTTCTTCGTTCTTGTTGGAAATCGTCAGCAGTGCGTATCCAACGAAACGCAACGGAGTTTCGAACCCTCCTACCGGCTGGTAGTTCGAACGCAACCGGTTGGCCCACCACGGGTGATCAGCAGTGTGATTAACTCGTATCTAGGCGTGATTCTACCGAGGAATATGAAGGACTTATTAGAAATCAGCTCAAGTCATGACAAAAATCTTGCCGAGTGGTGAACTGAGTAAATCTGACTGGGAGTCAAGTGGGTGAACTTCGATTGACGAGCTCCAAACTACAAGTCCAAAAAGCGCCGGAAAGTGATCAGTATGTGTGAAGATGCGACACATCAGGTTCCACAACACTTTTTGAAGACACGCTTATGCAAAATGAAATCAATCAGTGCTTTGGAGATAAAGATTGTTATAAAGTTAGAATAAACGCTCCCGTCCAGGTTGTTCGGACTAATCATGGTATTTTTCTTCCCCAGAATGAACATCCTGTGCTTTGTGTTGGATAGAATATTTCAGCCGTGGCGCCCAACTGCCATGCCACAAGAGGGCTGGCCAGGTTGCCTAGCCTAGACAGGGGAAGTCCAAAAGAAGAGGTCGGGTTCGAACCACGGACCTTCCGGTCGGTTTGTTTGCGCTCTAACCACTGTGCGCCGTCTCTAATAACCAGTAGTATAAGGATTATGTTTGATTCAGACAGTTGAATTGAGTAAATCGGGGCCCTTCCCAACATTTTCTGGTACACTTCCTCACTAAACCCGTCCAGTGTCTAAACAAAACAATAACGTTTTTATTTCCGACCGTTGATTGCAACGCCAGTGCTCACCCGCACTTTCACAGCTGTGTTTCAAAGCCACAATAACCACCGGTTCAACTGGACATTGTAGCTGTCGTTCAATATCTATCCGTTTAACTTCAACATTTTGTTTAGATCACTATCAAACCCTTCACATCCGAACTTATCCTGTCGTTGTGTAACTCAGTCAGGGAACCCCCTCGTAATACAGACAACGTCATATACTAATCTCCTTCCCTTTAAGCAACCTGGGCCAACCGTACATTTCAATTAACTGCTTATCAGATCTAATCGGACATGGGAAACTTTCATCTTGAGCAAACCGTGTGAACTAAATTTTTAATCCCTTAAATCCAATTTACTGAACTCGTAGATGAGCACGCAGAATGCACAGCAGAAATCTCCAGGACTCATATGTGATTGCACGCAAATAAATTAGGCACAGCCCCATTGTCTTAATTTAGGACAAATCAAAGACTTTTTACTAGTCTTATCAAGACCAGAGTCCCGAAGGAGCGCTAATATGTGACCAACTGCCGACCGAGAATAATCAAGACCAGAGTCCCGAAGGAGCGCTAAGTTGTGACCAACTACCGACCCTGAATAGGCTGCGAGAATGGGCAGAGAAGTGCAACAGTTGCGTAAGGCCATTTTAGCCCTTAGCAATTTTTTCGCACACAAAATTCTCTTTTTTAAAGATTAATCATAAGTTTTTTCGCGTCTGTATCAATCATTTCTGAGGATGTTCTGCCATACAAAAAGGCTTTTTTGGAGAACTGATTTTTCCTAATGAGAGAAACATCTGTTTCTAATAGTCAAATGATCAACCGAATTGCGCGCATTCAAAGCGAAATTGCACCAAACTAATTCACAAACGCACATCGATAGTAAACCATACATCAGAAGAAATATCTCCGGTCAGGTTATCGATACACGACGGGCAATGTGTTGGTAACCGAGCTATGGTTTTGCGCCAGCTGCTTTCAAATAGGCTCTGGTCCGATCGAACGTCGTTTCATCAAAAATCGATTGGATGAAGAACATGAGCACTCATCACCACTTGAGTTTTACTCCTATCTGAAACGTACGCCTAATATTGGTGGTGTGAAGAAATCTCCTCATTGAAATAGCGGTTAATCACACTGCTTGTGGCCGAACGGGTTAGTGTTCAGACTACTAAACTGCATTGAGTTGCGTGAGATGCGCGCTTCTGATGATTCTCAATAGGGATCAAACAGCTGTACGGCGCTTCTCGGTTTTTTAATATGGACTGCCTTCACTTACAGGATGAAATCTCCAATAAAACGCTTCCTAATAAAAAACACTTTTCATTTTATTCCTCCAAAATTTTTCCCGACCGTGAAGATCCTGATTTCTCCTTCATCTTCCAATTTTACAGCGATCTGCCTATCAAGTTGTTCTAACATACAATCCGGTTGAATCGGTTGAAGGCGAGAAGAGCGTGGATTTCTCCGTCCCGTGGACAGATGCCTACTGGCATCTTGGAATACAGTTTGAACAAAACCAAGTAAGTCTTCTATGCCGACTGTCCAGAGATTTTGATTCTTCAACCTTGCATTCAACAAGTTTTTTTTCAGAAAGTGCCATTCACATCCCATGTTGGCAACACAACTTAGTCTCAGTTGGACTGAACTTTCGACGGTTACCTCAGAGGTCCTTTTGTGTGATTGTCTAATTTGCTTGCCGCTCAAGAAACTTTTCAAAATAAGTCAACCAATGCAAACTCAGTACGTCAGCCAGTCGTCTCAGGACCATGGGAGACAGCTTTAACTTATCGATAACCATCTTTGACAGCACCAGACACATCGGTTGACGCCATAAAAGTTGCATCCGAACAGACGGCTGGCGTAATAGGCGGACTGCGAATTTGGGGTTCACGAACAGTTAAATGAATATATCTGGTCATCCGATCAGAAATGGCAGGTAAACTCAAAGTAGTCTTTTCATAAACGAAACTACTCACGAGGTTGCTGAAAACCCTTCGACAGCGCACGATCGGTTTCGCCCTTCCACTCCGGGCTCATCAGGTAGGCGCAGTCCGGGAGTTTCCGTCAACCTGATGTTCTACTTGAACCCAAATTGGACTGTTTTCGAAAAATACACTCATTTGCAAATCAATCTGGTTTTCACGAGAGACTCAATTGAATCTCTTGTGAGTAGTTTCCTTTATGAAAATATACTGCGATATCTCGAATATCATGCCAACTGAAACATGGAGCGGCCTGTGCGCAGCACAATCAATTGTAGAATATAATGAACGAGAGATTCAGTTGAGCCTCTCGCGAAAACCAAATTGATTTGCAAACGAGTGTATTTCTCAGAGTAGTCTTACTTTAGTTGTGGGCTAGGGCTTGGGCGCACTCACACAATTGCCCATTAGTCGCAAATGGAGCGAGAATTCTGTACAATTAAAGAGCCATTTTTCACTTTAGGAAACTTAAAGAGAAGTAAAAATTGGTTCTATGTCCTTGCTCGCTGGAAAAATTTTGGTCGTTTGCGAAGCAATCACTTACATTTCAAAATTGTAATTCCTCATGTATATACCTGGCTAGTCGCTCACGTAACGTGAGATGTCACTCTCACAGTGGACAATCGCAGTTTTTTGGCGAGCGAGAGGTACTGTGCTCGATTTCTCCAGCCCGCATTGTGTGCACCTTACCTGTCGGATCAGAATATCGGTGCGAAACAATTTGAACATGGTCTCCCAGACCTGATGTTGTATGTTCAAACGGTTCAGTCAAGAGAACAGAGCTAAGTAGTACAAGATTGTAACCAAGAGCCATGCAAAATTCATATAAGTTTTGTTTAAATGCATGACGTCACATTTGATGACATCCTAGCGAAATCCACTGTAGTGGTGCAGACAATTTTCCGGCCCTGTCTTCAAAAGTAGAGCTCAGTTCGTTCATTCGGATGTCGTTATTTTTGTCCCCTGTTTCCTATGACTGAATAATAGCTCCGTAACAATTTCGTTAAAAAAAGGTCACTCATTTTGCTGTTTCAAAAACCACTAAATGTATCAGGTGATTTTTTCAAAAGGGAACTCAAGTTGCGGACTCCGCTGATGCTTTAATTTGCGTGCGGGTGACCCAACTTTTTTGGGCCCGTTCTTCACCAAGTGAGAAATCACGGACCCAACCCCCTCCCCCAAAAGCCCATGCCCTTAATTCTATATCTAGTATGCCTCAGTTTCTCTCCAAGCTTATCCAAATCTCCGTCAGCCTGCCATATCATCACGTGCAATTTATCACCATCAAACTTTCTCTGGGGATTGTAAATTTCTCGTCACTTTCTTCACGGCAGAACAGGGATAGCCAATAATGCGCACAAACTCAAAAAACTAATGATTCTTGAATTCTGGCATGGTACTTTCAATTGCGTAGGTGGTGTCAAGTGGTGTCAAGCCTAAGTAATGTTAAATTATTCGGGTTGGCGATAGGGGACCTTGCGAAACCGGTGGTAAAGATTGGTAAAGATTGATTTTGCGCTCCCAATTGAATAAGAAACTGCTCCGACTGTAGTTTCAAACATCCTGTCAGCTTACTCTCTATGATTGAACTGAGTTCGTTGAAACTTAAAGAAATGAGGTGAAAATTCTGGTAAGGGCGCAGAACATTCATTAAACCTATCTGTGCAAAGCGTTGACCCATGAGTTGGTTTCTTTCGAGGAATAAATGGCTGACAATCAGTCATTTGTCCTCTGTCCAACCCAAAGCTGTCACCTCGTCATTCTGGTCGGGGTTCTACGCTGCGATCATCTTGTGGGCTAAACTGGCTGGAAATCAGTTACATGCCAAGCCGACGGGAAGCAGCCCGATGAAAAATGGCGGATATTCGTTTAGCGAGAAATCGTAGAACGATGAGGTCTGGAGATAGAACTGTACTGTACTCTGAGATAAGGCATTTCCTTCAGGTGACCAACATGTGAATATTGATGAAAGCAGCGCTCCCCCAAGGAAGAACGCGTTGGAAAGGTTCGATTCGAAGAACCACACACTCCGATCGCCCAAAGGACAGCCGCGACCGCAGGTGCATTAATCAATACCGTCGAAATAGTTTTAAAACAAGAAGACTTTGGTGTTGCTCAGTAGATATGTTACGCATGGACTCATCGGGAGCCAGACAGTTATACCTTACTCCCTGAATCCTCGGACCAGGCAGGCCCCTGCAGCCATATGGGCCGGACTATTGAGTCGTTGGCTCTGAGAAGGGTCTCTAATGAAAACCTCCCAAACCACTGTCTCACAAGTCAGGCATTTGAGTCACAAGATAGGTGAGGGGTCTTTGAACTGGCACTTTACAGTGCCTTGTGGGTTAGAATTTAAAGTCAACGACTCAAAATAAGTACTTCAGACAAACTCCAATCTTTGGCATAGGCAACCGGGGAGTATCATTCGGCAACTCCCTCTTACACGTCTCTCCTCCGAATACTTTGGATGCCATGACCTGGCAACGAAGCACAAAACCCCTTTTCACTCGTGAAAAGAAAGCCTTCGCTGCCGAGTTATTTATTAGAAAATGCCAACTGACCGGTTACAGACTATTGAATGGGGAAACAAAACTCTCATTTGCATCTTATTTTCAGAAAATGAACATCCAACTTCTCCTGAACGTCTCTTCTTGAACTTTCCTATCAATATTCATTGACTCCAATCATTCATTGCTCAAATCCAAGCAAATTTTACAAAGCGACTCCACCAATTCCGCAACAGACCTCCTCTTTTCAAGAAACGCAAAGCGAAATTCCAAGAGCAACACACACTACTCGCACGCCTCCCCGTCAGTAGTATCACCGTTTCACTGGTAGATGCGCTCTTCCCGAATAGGAAGACGGAACAAGATGAACCATTCGCTGGTGGTGTTAAGAGGTATGGCTTGTCACAGCCAATGGCGCTCTTGTATCAAATATATCGCCTTGACTGTGAAGCTCTCAATCCCTGATACGGCAGACGGGCTGAACAACTCGACGTCAATCGAGTGATTGCGCCACTGTCTCCTTATTCGCTCATCGGTGAACAAAGCTGTAGCTCTTGAAAACACTGCATTTCGATGCACGGCTTGAGGGCTGAAAAAGTGAAACTGAACGGGCGAAATACACTCATTTGCAATCGAATTTGGTTTTGCGGGAGACTCACATGAAACCCAGCTCAATCTCCCGTTTATAGTGTTTTCAAGCAAATAAATGTGCTGCACTAGGCCGCCTCATGTTTCAGCTGGTACGATATTCGAAATATAGCGCGTATATGTGTAATGTGCTACTCATAAGGTTGCTGATCAAACATATTCACTTGCTTGGAAACATCATAAACAAGTGATTCAGCTGGGTTCCTGTTGAGTCTCCGGCAACACCAAATTTGTTTGCAAATGAGTGTATATCACTAATTTCATGCCAGTCGGTTTCAAGTAGGATATGTAGAGTTGACGGAAACTCGAGGACTCTGCCTACCTAATGAGACGCAAGAAAACCGAAACCGGTCGTGAAACCGAACTGATTTGTTACTTGCAAAAAGTCACCCTTGCTGTCGTGGGATGGTTTAATTCGTTAAGTCTGCTGCAGTCACTATACTAAGTTCGATGGGTTTAAGACGGCTACAACTAGGGAAATTTCACCAACTTTAAATGTGAATTCCAAATCGTGTAACGAACTCAATTAATTCGATACATTCGTACATTTGGCTGGCAGGCGCCGGGCTTCTTTTACGACCTACACTGAATGTCCAGGATACCAAAAAAAATACAAGTAGGTGATCGTTATAGAAATAAGACTTGATTCCAGCGAAGTAAGTGAAATTATTCATTAAACTAGTTATATACTGGAGACTCCCTGAGCAACGATAGGATCAGTTCACACGCAAAGTCGACTGTTTTGTTGGGACACCACTTATCGCGTGTAGCACCAAACCGAACGGGAATCTTGCAAGCACTCGGGTTCGGTGTGTCGCCAGTGTAGAGTTGCCTGCACCAACAAGCTTGGACGTCTACGAACATGAAATTCAAAGTTTCGTATTGAATCAAGCAAGCTGTCTCAGAGCAGGCGAATCCAAACCCGTTGTCCCAAGGGGGAGACAAATCCCACGTAAACCAAGCTCGTGCCTGCAAACCGCAAGTGATTTATTGTTAGTTTTCCTTATGGCATCGCACCGGCTGGTCACTCTGCTGCGTCGAGTCGTTTTGTAGCGTCGTAGTAGTAAACGTTAAACTGTCGATTCGAGAATTTTCACGTGATTTATCGTACTCTTTGACATCCATGTGATGCTTGCTTCAGATTTCCCGTATTGAATCCATATGGGTCCTTGTGATGCCTTCAACTCCTTGTAAAGATATAACACAACCTGACATTTTCTTAATGAGGTTAGTTCTATGAATTCCAAACTTCAGTAAGGCGTCATAGATACGGGGAAGACACGTATCTTGACATTCATTCATCTGGTACTGAACGCAGAAAGCCCATGTTTCCACGGTTGAAGGAATCGCTACTTCGGAAGTTGTCAAGACATATGCCCACGACTAGTTTCATCCTTCATGCGCCTGATCAAGTAGACGCATCAATTATCGTCAATCTTGTGATCTGCTTGGATACAAATTGCACGAGATTCGTTTGCGTAGCAATTTACTTTAACTGGGAGACACAAGTGAATCTGATCTGAAGCTGACGTCTTCACTTTATCCGCAACAGAACACAGTCAGAACATCGGCCTCATGTTTGCTTTCTACGGACTGTATACTCTTGTCGGTGTTTTAGCATGTCAACAATACATTTTGTGCGGATTCAAGAGTACCTTGGTATTGCTGTGAACTCCGCTATCCACCACCCATGAAGAGGATGTTTAATTTATTCAAATCTCCCTGTGAGTACTCTTAGATGTTGGGTTTCAAAACTGCCCCCCCCCCAAAACGGATCGACCAACAGGAAACCCTAAAGAGACCCGATCGTAATTCCAACTTTCTGTCGACAATTTTTATTACTAACACCGCAATAAAGATTGTAAGTATGGAACATTGACACATGGATATACAACTAACCTAGCCACTTTAAACGGTCATTGATAGCCAATGATACGATGCCCATCAATCCTTGGGTCTTTAATGAGTCGGAGAGTCTCCTTCAGCCTTCGAACCATTCACGTTGATTCCAGCAGGTTGATGACCAAAGAAGAGCAAAAAGGAACGAATATGTCAAGATGGCAGTCAGGAACTGAACACACACAGTACAAGTATCAGTGGGTTCTTGATGGTACTTCACAGCAGACTGCACCACAATAATTTATGCGTTAAGTTTTCGATCAGATTGGTGTTCCTGGTTGTTGTTCTGTTCCCTGAGACTGGCATGTTTGGTTGATTGCTTCGTCCCCGAATTTCAAAAGACGCGAAATCTGACCAACGGTACTTAAATTCACTAAAGGTAGTATTTCGACTTTATCTTCGGCATTTCAGTCAATAAAGCTGGTATGAGTTATTGTGTCACCATTTTTCATTAATCTGTAGTGGATCAGTGGTTAGGACACGAAGCCGAAGGTCCGTGGTTCGAGCCCTGATTCGGCATATCGACTGCCCCTGTATATAGAGCTTGTACAATCTGGCAGTATGTCAGCCCTCATGCTTCCTTTGAGTGGCATGACAGCTAGGCACCGAGGTGGTATTGAGGCTGAAAGATTATTTTTTACGTGAATTCATCGGACAGAAGCACGAACAGATGATTTCCAACTTCAACAATTCAACACAAACGAACTTTGCTCCACCAACGGTGATTTCAGATAAGAGGTTGCATACACGCACACTGTTGACAAGAAAGCCTTATCGGTTTTAAAAGACTCCCTAGTAGAGTGAATTATGTCGGGACTCATCAAGAACATATGAGTGAATGCTACCAAAAGACTGGATGCCTCGTTGAACGATAAGCACATTGGCTGAAAGTGTATTAGTGCGCTGTTGATGATGACCATAATACAAATCAGAAGGTGTATGCACTAATAAAAGTTTTTTGCATGGTTGACACTGGTAGGTTGCGACACGTATAAAAATAAATAGAATGCAAAATGGGAGCAAGTCAAAAGAGGAACTTAGCGTCTGTGAGAGTGCCTTGGTGAAAGTCCGGACGGCGGGAACGTATTTTTCTTCGCTGTATGGCTGCTACACGCATTCCATAATTGTCCGTGGACTTGGAGTGTTTGCCTGACCCCTTGCTCCCTGCGCGCGCGCGAGTCTGTGTGTGCTGACACTGTTCGGTTGCCCTATAAGTAGGTCCCAGTGCGTGTACGTGGGCGCGTCAGCACATGAGTAGTTGCTACGCTCACCAGACGGTACAGACAATCGATGTCCGATGAGTCATCTTAGTGTGACGTGGTTTGTGGGTATGAAAAAAGAGAAGTCTCGTGATCCAGTGAGCGACTGTGAGCTGAACAGTCAAGTATGTAGGTGAATGGGTTGCTACAAGTGTACAATCTTTGAAAATTCGTAGTCTAACTGGTCTAACCATTTTCCATGCTTATTCACGTGCTTCCAATTTTGCTAGCCCACTGATTACTCATTTGGTTACAGCATCTGCTCGATGAAAATACAGTAGAGCCCTTAAATAAAGGAGGGTTCCTGAATCCCCCATGGACCGGTCGTTCATATTGCTATAAGGACCAGGGAAACCTCGCTGAGCTGGATAAGAGACATGAAACGGGCCAGTTGGAACCAGAAGCCTCTCTTGAAGGCACACTAGGTGGTGGATTTGTCCAACACTCACATTCTGACTTATGAATGAGTTCAAGTGGCTTACCCCATAATGCGGTGACAAATTTTACAGAAGGGCTACAGGAGAAAATCGGTCCACTTTGTCTTGGCCCGTTTTTGTCGGTAGTCACGNGTTAACGTGACTGTTCATCTGCTGAACCGAAATACGAAAACTGAGTTTGCATGCGCGTAAACATGCCCTGTGTTTACCGATTAAAAGGTTTTGTCTCAGTCTCCACTTGACTTATGTGAGCGCAGACACGATAAAGCCAGCCCGTGCGTAAACATTCAGTGAGGTTGAAACGAGGGAACACCAGCATTTGTGACTCTCTTGAAGTCAACACGTAATTGGGGATTGTGAGGAAAGAGACTCGGACAAAAGGCCCGTCTAATTTTGACAGCAAGCTTTTCGAATGAACACAAGTGTTTGAACAACAGAGGAAATTGCTAAGCAATTTGAGAAATGTGTTGGTTAGGAAGAGTGGAACCAAATGCGATTGGAGAAGTGAAACTCTGTAGGACACTTAGTCATAACACGTTACGGCAAGTGGAAAAACCCACCTACACAAAGCCATGAAGTATCCTTCAATGTCTGGGTTAGAAACACTACGATGTTTGCCATAATGCTGAAAAAGGTTATGGAGATAAGAGGTGAAACAGAATATGTCAGCTAGACAGTCAGTAATGGTCTGAATGTAAGATCTACATTCCGTCATGACAGCCGCGTCAAATTCTGTACCCGAAAACCAATGATGTCATTTATTGTAGAAAAAAAGTGTGACTAAGCAAGCCATTTCACTTGGGCGGTGATTTACACAATGCGCACAGAACCAAGTCAAGCTTATGAGCAATATCAAGTATAATTTGTGACGGAGCGCAAAAAACACCCTCGGAAGAAGGACCGCAACACTGCTACCCGGGACGCGATGACTCAGAGGTTAGAGCGCGAATTCACTGACCGGAAGGTCCGTGGTTCGAACCCGACCTCTGCCTCCCGACTTCCCCTGTCTAGGCTTGGGCCACCTGGCAGTATCCCAGTCCTCGTGCTCCCCTCAGGTGGTAAGGCAATTAGGCGCCAAAAGAGTGCTACAGCTGGACAATTCTACCCAGTTCTTCTGGGAACACTGAGGCAAATATAACGAAGTTGAGACAACAGCTTGTCTTGCTCAAAAATCTAATAAATTCATTTCTTATATCCTTACACCTAAGCCGGTTTAGTAGGTTTTTGGATATAAATTCATAAATCCTCTTATTTGAACGTATCATCACAAACCCCTGTAGAGAGAGAGATTTCTTGCTAAAACACGTTTCGGTTCTCCCAAAAACGCTCCGCCTAGTGATAAGTTTTGCGGTAGGACCAAAATGGGTGTTTGTATGTGTAGGATAGAACAATTCATCTGATGCAGCAGTACAACGCCGTGCCCGTAGGTCATGATTAGTGTTCGTATTCGGTTATCAGATAACCCGAACAGTTATATGGGTCGGGCACATCAATCACATCGCTCAAGTGTGAACACGTTCCCCTATTCATATGTGTTCAACGTGCGTTGGTGGAGTAGCGGTTACACGCTCGCCTCGGATGTCAGATGTCCGGGGTCCCAATCCCGGCATAGCCATTGGACATGCACTGCTGATGAGCTCTAATAAGAGTGAAATTCGAGTCCAGTGCTTCCCTTTGGTGTGGACGCTCCGAGATACTTACGCCAGAACAGGAGAACAACCGCTTAAACGAGAGTGGTGTGAATATGAACAAAATACATACCCCGCAAATCCCCAACTGAAATCGAATCGTAACACAGTTGGAAGATAAAAACCGATGGGTATACGCATTCCGCATAGGCTCGTCAGTACAAAGTTATCAATATCCGACCCGTTTCTAGCCTCTGCAAAATGAGTGTTGGTCATATGGTTGCTAACTCATCGGTGACTAAAGGGAAATCGTATACATGTAAAGTCCAGGGCAAAGTAAGGATCCTATCGAGTATCGTTTGGACAGTGTCAAGAAGGTCAGATTCCTGAAGATTTTCCCAGAATACCTGAAACCTACTGAGACCCTCAAACAACTTCACAAAACGCCTAGCAGACAGCATTGGATCAAGGTCAAACAGCGTCCTTCAAGATATAGCACGAAGCCATTTCACTTTCGTACTCGCTTGATTGTAATACAGTGATTTTGTTCCTTGTTGGCGAGTCTTTTTCGGGCACTAAGGCACTGAGGCGGAGATAGCAGTCAGATATCACAGACAGAAAATGAGAACTTGAATCGAGCAGTTGCAGTGTTTTGAGACAAAGAAGAAATTCATTAGGATAACGATGTTACGAATACCTTGGCTTGAACATTGGTTTGGCGAACGACACCGTGAGATCAACCATACGTACACTGGTCCAAGTAGTGGATCCACCTACTCGATAAGTGCTCAGCTGACAGCTTGCATTTTCAATCATATACCTACATATTTCGTATCGCCATTGCTCGAAAAGCTGAGAGCTCATTGGCAAACCAATCGTCTTCAAAATTGCTCCCTTTTGAGACCATAATCTCAGATGTCCGTGTGCGTGAATCTGCTATCTGAAACTAAATCATCCTCTAGTTTAGCTTGTCCAAGGTGTTTATGACACTATACTGTGTTCATGGCATAGCATACCATTTCGGTACAATTCCAATTCACCAGCCTTTTTCCTCGGTCATGAGTGGTGCTGATATTTAAAAAACTCATTTAAAACAAACTAAAAAACCGTTCACCTGTAACACCCTTTTGGCGTCTAGCTACTATGCCACCCGAAGGAAGCACGAGCGCTGGGATACTGCCAGGTCACCCAAGCCTAGACAGGGGAAGTCGAGAAGCAGAGGTCGGGGTCGAACTACGGACCTTCCGGTCAGTAAATTCGCGGTCCAACCACCAAGCCATCTCGCCCTAAGTTGGAGTAGCAGAGTGTGGTTCTTACAAGTCTTATAAGTCTCCAGTTGAATAAAAACTGTGGAATCTTTGGCGTAACCCACCCCCCATAGTCATTCCCACATCGTCTTAGATTTGTTCGATTTCTTGCTTGCATGACCAGCTTTTCGGGTAGAATGAGACCGTCCCACCGTCTTCTTCAAGCAGAGAACTTGCAGCTCAACGCTGACCTTCTAACTTCATTCCACCTCATTCCAGTTGGTCGGTACACTCAACGAAGCCAAGTTGTTTCCACAAAAGTTGAACTAGACCACACAATGAGCCTACACATCGACTATGTGCATGCTCCGTCGGGCTAGACTTGATGTAGTTTGTGTGTTCTGTCTGTGCGCGTGTGCGTCCGGATAGGACAGAAAAGGACCGGGAGGAATCACTGGAATTAGACTGTGAACACGCCTGGTAATTTGTTACGCGTGTTGGTAATTGCGAGTCGACACGTAGAGAGCGGTTCCTGCTATTCATATGTTTGAGTGTCCTTGTAACACCCGAATGATTTTCACGGATTTGCTTGACTTTGGATGTCACACACGGTTCAAATAAAGTGGCTGATAGTATTCAGTGTCGTCCATCTTGTGGCAGAAAAAATGGTTCAGTGAATTTCTATAGAATAAATAAATACTCCTACATATTATCTAATCGGTTTGTCGTGTGATATAAAGAACAAGGATGTCATTCATTTTGTTGATCAGCTTAGAAAGTCGTTCCGCTGTAGCACCCTTTCCCAGCCTAAGTGCCTTGCCACCCGAGGGAAGCACGAGGGCTGGGATACTGCCAGGTTGCCCAAGCCTAGACAGGGGACGTCGAGAGACAGAGGTTGGGTTCGAACCACGGACCTTCCGGTTAGTAAATTCGCGCTCAAATCATTTGATGCTTCTCGCCCCAGAGGGTACATCAAAGCCGAAGAATTTCCTGTTCCAGATCTCTTATCTGAGATCGTTAACAAAATCAACATTGCTTGCCAGATCATCCTGGATCACCTGAATACTTCGGCCAGGTGGTATCCCGGTGCGGCGGTATGTGCATAATGAAGTCATTGGAGTCCGGATTGTTTTGGACATACACGTACACGAATGCTACATTTCTGAATAAATGTTCCCTTCGGTGATCAACTATTTTGAGAAAGTTGCATAAGTTTCATGGGGACACATGTATGCTCAGGGTCCACGAAAAGTGACCAATGGCGTGACTAGACGACCTTACCCTCAACACACAGCTGTGGCTCTCTCACCTCGACTAACCAAACAACTCAGTGAATGCTTAGTCCACCCTGATAGAAGCCGATCGACCGGTCTCTCTTCCGTATTTTTTTGCTTCCTTCTGGTGAAGAGCACTCATGGTGGTCAACAAGTTGAGTCATGAAACCTTACTCTCAACGCGTTGTTTTTCTCTGCCACCAATCAATTCAACTACTTATAACGCACGATGCACAATTCATTCGATCTTTTTCGTATCGAATGTGGTACAGATATCATCTGGTGGTCTAATTAGGTGGAACACCGCAATAGGGACGCAAGTAACTTCACTCATCGGAAATTTACCTAAATCGCTCCACCCCCCACAAACATTCGAACGATCTCATACATACGAAAACATCGTTTGATAGGCTGTCTTGGCACAAATAGTTCCTGGTTTCCTGGTTTTCTTGTACATTAATCGCATGTTCAAGTCGGAAGCTACTTGCCACCGATCGATAGAATCATTCTAGGTTGCTGTTGGTCTGCTCGCCGAGCTCAGCAGTTGGATTGCAAACGTTTCATCACCCATCAAGGTGACATCGTCATCCTAAACCTCACTGACGAGACGTATGCAATCCAACTGCCAAGCTCAGCGAACAGATCAGCAATCAATCAGCGCAACTAAGCTACCTATATTCCACAACACTGCCAAGGTTACTGTCGCTTTTTTTACAAATCTCAGTAGGATTACCACTTTGGTGGCCAATCCTTGAATCTGCAAGGCGGACTCAGATAGTTGGAGCCGTACACTGCATATTTTTCCGTTTCTATTCAAATGTATGATTGCTGTGTAGTAACCAGGAGTCCGTTAGATCGTATCGGTTCGTGATCACATTTGAACCTGAACGTTGTAAGTCAGTGATGAGTGTGTGAATGATTCAAAGTTTTTCACCAAAGCATGAGTAACCCTAAATCTGTTCTCACTCATTTCTATAAGTTTTCTTCTAAGATCATCTAAATGTTGCTCACACCCTGTCCGTAAAACTTTTTTATCAGACCAAGTTCTACACATCGTGTTCGGATACTGAAACTGTACCCTATCATACCGTGCCCACCACCGGCATACTGGGAACGCGATTATTCCGTGATGGTGCGACGTTTTTCGCCCTCAACAGTGGACTACAAAGTGCTCCGGAATACTATGTCGTAAGTCCACGTTGCACTTCATTTAACCATCTTTTCCATTCCGCTTGCAACAAGTGGAGTACTGCCCAAGCAGCGGAATACCTGCTATTTTGTAGTGAAACTCTGTTCTGCACGTTTGTGAAAAACTATCATCCACGTTGCTTTCTCTGTGTGTTCAAACTGGTTAAGGAGAGCCACTGTTTTAAGTGAAAATCTGAAGGAGAATCTGAAACATAACGCTCTCCCTTCATTTTGTTTGCACGATCCAGGGCATGTTGAAGTCCTTCAATTTCGCCTCAACCACCGATGCAGTGAGACAAATGTGCACAAAGTCCGAGGTGAGTTGATTTATTTACATCACAATTCTGAGCTACTTTTTCCTTCCGTGAGTAGGTACAAATGAGATGAATTTTATTGTAACTTTGGGGTTGGGTCGGGCACACCAATCACATCGCTCAAGTGTGAACACATTTGCCCGTTCCTACCAACGTGCGTTGGTAGGGTAGTGCTTACACGCTCGCCTCGCATGTCAGATGTCCGGGGTTCAAATCCCGGCACGGCCATTGGATATGCACTGCTGATGAGCTCTAATAAGAGCGAAACTCGAGTCCAGTGCCTCCCCTTGGTGTGGAGTCACTGGAATAACAGGACGGCCGTTCAAACGAGAGTGATGTGACTATGAACGAGATCAATTTTAGCCAATTTATGTGCGTTTATGAGTCACAACCCCTCGGTAAGGCACAGCTCATCCAGGGAAACAACCCAGTTGTAGACGTACTCAGTCAGTCGTACATTCATGACGCCACTCATTGACAGTACTTCAAGAAGAAGGACCACGGAATGTGGTGATAAGCATCGAATGACTCAGTCCCGATTGATGTGAGTCTTTGTGTTTCGAAGGAATATTGGCACCCAGTCACATTGTGACCACCTAGGTCTCTAACGGGGTGTGACAGGTTGGAACGCTGCTTACTTACGTGAGAGGGTAAATATTCAACATGTGTTTTCAGGTGGTACATCTTCGCTTCTTCCTTACCGACGATAAATCACTCAATTTCGCCCCACTCACTAATGGGAAAATGTTCGATTGAGTCTGAAGTTGTGTGTATAAATATAATTCTAGAGTATTATTCAGGTGCTATTCAGGTGCAGGACAATGCAACTTAAAGTTCTCCCAAACATTCTGGGCAAGACGAGAGATGTCAGTTTTTCTTTCCCCATCAAACTCAAAACTTATCAAATCGGTACGAAATATCATTCGCAAGGCAAGGTGATCATGTAAGTGGTGCACAGGAAGCGATAGGACCGGTGCTGAATGGATTCATTATGCTGAACGGGATTCATCACATATTAATAACGCTAACAGAACTATTCACAAGGTTGCTGAAAATTCTTCGACAGCCCACGACCGGTTTCGCCCTTCTTCAGGCTCATCAGGTAGGCGCAGTCCCCTTGTTTCCGTCAACTTTATGATCTACTTGAACCCAAATTGTACGAAGTTAGCGAACTACACTCATTTGCAAACAAATTCGGCTTTGAGAGAGACTCACCTAGAATCAAGCTGAATATTTCGCCCATGATGTTTCAGTTACTTAGAAACATCAGCTGGGTTCCAGGTGAGTCTCTCGCCAAACCAAATTTGTTTGCAAATCAGTGAATTTCGCTAACAGAACTAGGCTACAGGCCACCTCGGAGCTGCGGTGTCTGCTGACGAGGTTTTGTGCCAAGTGAGGTGGCAAAAGGCAAATAAAATCGCCTATCAACAAACATGTTTTCGACCGAAAAGCCCCCAAAATAAAGAATTTGAAGTTTCATGGATGAATCACTGTTCGAGTTTATTGCATTAGGTTTTCCACTGGAAGATTCGTTCACTCAGAATAAGGGTGCTCACTTGGATACTTTTAGGCTTTTGGTCTAGAAGCTCTCAACTGAATCGTCTTCGTTGTAGTGCAACGTCTTGTGACTGCGTGACATATTGAGCCGCATTGATGAGCTGTCTTTCGGACACAGGGTCTCTCATAACAGTTTGATCAATGATTAGAGGTCTGATGACAATCTCTGGATCCTCAAGGTTACGGGTTGAAAAATACGCAATCTACCCTACTACCTACAGGGCTGCTAAGATCCACTCAACTTAATCTGCTAATGAGTGTGTGCCACCTGCATGGTTACCCCTCCAAAAAGGTTGGACTACTTGCAGAGTTCTACTTCAGCCATTACTGTCTTGCAATCAAGCAGTTGAACGAATACCTTGATAAAAGGTACTTATCGGCCCCCCGGTCTAGGTCTTCTTGCCCGAGCGAAACAGCAACCCACAAACACGAATGGACAACAACAAAACCAACGGAAACGATAGAAACTGCCGTAGCATTTTGTCGCTCTTCCACCGTCGAAATCGCGTCTGTTACCAGATTCGCCTATCACATCAAACTACTCCTAGTGGAAAAATACCATAGCTGTTTTGCACTGAATTTCATATGGAACCGCAGAAACACCTTGAGCAACCAAAGGAAATTTCGCCAGGGAACAAAGAGACTAAAGCAGTTTGATAACCAAACTCGAACACAACTGATAAATCACATGAACAGTCAAAAGAGATTCTGATGAGGTGCTCGCCTTCTGTCTTCAAACTCGGCCAACTTGGTAATCTATTCTCTTGGCCTGATGTGGCTTTTGAGTCAAAAGCAAAGCATCGCCCGGCGACAAACCCGCTGATCGTCTACCAAAGCTTTCGGTTCGATGATTTTGCGGCACACACACACACACACACACACCGGGTTGGCATCCGTTTCCGGACTCGCCTTTCATATCTACGGATGGCCACGCACACTAGGTGCCACCACGTGTGGTGTGCGAAGGGCCGCGTGTGCAGCCAGCTGGACGCCCTTTACCCGGTGCCAACCTCAGGGAGAGCGGGGGGATTCTAACGTGGTCAACTGATGACTCATAGTCCATACATCATGTGGGAACATTTGAACAGTCGAAACAATCGGAGTAGAGGATGACCCGTCTCGCTGGTAATCGAAATGCTCTGCACCACCGTTGTGTACTTGATACTCCGGAATTTCTAGAGTGTTGAGGCGGGTTATTCGCAGACACAGAGGGAAGAGACCTAGCGGTATTACTGACAATCCCACTTAGTTTAATTCATTCTGGTCTATACAAGTCACTCTTACCACCACTAGAATCCTGGCAAACCGAACTGTCCAGTTTATCAAGGCATATTGTTCATAGGCTCGTGTTGAGACATCTGGGTAGTTGAGCACAGTGGTATCTCGATTTCCCCTGCCTAGGCTTGGGTAATCTGGCAGTATCGCAGCCCTCGTGCAACCTTCGAGTGGCATGGTAGCTAGGCACCAAAAGGGTGCTACAGCTGAACGATTTTAAAAATATTTTTTACAGTGGTGTCTGACCCTATAGATGCTTTTTCGGCAGTCCGTATTCCTTCATTCGTCCGGCCGCCATCTTGTGCGGCAATTCTGTCGCAATGAGCCAACCATCTGCGTCTGGCATTCTCCCAGTCCAGTCGATAGCAAGCATCGGCTTCAGGCAGAAACTACTTTAGCCGACCTTATAAGCAAACATCACTGCGCCTTAATCATGTAAACACTGAAGTCAGTGGCGTACTGTTGGGTCCCTCATAAAGTCCACCATAAAAGACAGTCCTCAAATATATCTGTTTCTTTATCCATGAGAATCACATCTCCCTTAGGAAGATGTGCACTGCAAGGACCATCCTGGGCACAAACTTTGTATCAGAACTAGAATGCGATTTCATTCGAAATCTCCCATTTCCACAGATTATACTACTGAGTTCAAGAAATACACTCTCTTGTCTGTTCGTTTTTTTCACGCGTGGGTAATCTTATGACAAAGTTTGGTTGCGTCGGCTTACAGTAGGATGAACTTTCCTAAGTAAGTTTATAGATGTATTGACCACGGCCATTTGCCGTGGTCCGTAAAACCCCTGCCTTATCGCTTGCTGTCAGCTTTTCCCGTCACTGATATGCACCGCTGTGCTAGGTCGCATCAACAAAGAAAAGAAAACGTTCAACCCAAAGAAGAAACTTGGAAAAGGGAGGCGTTTCGTGATATAACTCGCTAGTTGGATGGTTGCTGACCCATATAGCGTCCGATTAGACAGGAGACGGATTGTGACCATGTAAAGAAAACGTTCAACCCAAAGAAGAAACTTGGAAAAGGGAGGCGTTTCGTGATATAACTCGCTAGTTGGATGGTTGCTGAAGAAACCCATATAGCCAACTACCAGTTCCACCCGATGGAAAGGGAGATTCTGTTGAGTCTCTGGTTAGACCAAAAATAACCGCCAAATAAGTGTACTTAGCGGTGCTCAGGTAGAAAATAAGGTTGATGGGAACTCGGAAGATACGCCTGCTTGATGAGCCCCCAGAATAGCTATCGGAGAGTCTTCAGCAATCTTGCTTGTTGTTTATCGAAAGGAAATATATTATGGTATCGTACCGACTAGAACATCAAGCGGCCTTTGTGCCACGCATTCAGTTGAAGGATACGATGAACTAGAGATTCACTTGAATTCCCCGTAAAAAGCAAATTCGCAAATGAGTCGTCGTAAGATAGGGCTGTATTTGTCCAGGACCATAATACCACATTTGGAGGGCAGTTTAAAATAAGACCCACAAGAAACCGCTTTCTTTTCTATGCTGGTCGTCCCTCAGAAACAAGAAACAACTATTTGTAGATCCGCGCACCCCCATGAGCAACACCCAAACATTGTCCGCAAGACTACTTCAATCCCAATGTTTCTCAACGATTCGTTCAACTTGATGGAAAGTACATCCACTGAAAAGCAGATCTCCGTTCAATTAGTTCATCATTTCAAAGGTTAGTCGGTTGATCGCAATATAGTAATGGGTGATTAGACGAATGAGAGAACCAGGTACATGGGTGTTTGATCGATCCATTATATTTGAATGAGGGCACCCGCAAAAATGTTGATTCAAACTCAAAAGATGAAAAGGAGAATTAACTCGCATAGTTAAAATATGCACTTGCTGTTCTCCAATGGAGTCAATAAGATTTGATAAGTGGATCGTAAACCTGTGTCCGCGAGGGCCAACTCGATGAGATAACTTAGGTTAAAGCATGTTTCTTATTTGTCACAGTGACATTCAGTGACAATCGCTATCACTTTACATTTCTATAATCAGATTCCAGAAGGCAGCGGAGAAGGACCTCTCACTATTGATTTCGACCCGACATTCGGCAATATCTTGGTGGTGAGTTGATAAAGTGACGAAATGCGTATTTATGACAGATTAGCTGTTTTTATTTCCGATCATCTACTGCAATCGAAACAGAATCGAGGAAGCAAAGGTGGTGAGATTGGGTATGCGTTACACTTAGCCCGTACCTTGGTCTCTTAGACAGTGTCATTCCACCGACGCGTGAAAAGATGTGAACAGCAGGGTCTAGCTGTGCTTTCAGACAAAACGCATCCCTCTACTCTAGATGAACTTCCCGTAAATGCACATGCACTAATTTCTAGAGGTGCGTCAATTGTAGGACTGGTTCAATCATCGGGGGGCGAGATGGCTCAAGTGGTTAGAGCGCGAATTTACTGACCGCATGGTCCGTGGTTCGAACCCGACCTCTGCCTCTCGACTCCCCTGTCTAGGCTTAGGCAAACTGGCAGTATCCCAGCCCTCGTGCTTCTTTCGGGTGGCATGGCAGCTAGGCACCGAAAGGGCGCTACAGCTGAACAATTATTTATTATTATTATCAATCATCGGTCATCGATTGACCGGATTGGCCGCTCCGCACACGGTGACAATCGCTTGCTCGAACACGTGGCTTGACCTCGGCTGGCGTGATTGTGTTCTGTGGTCGATGTAAAAGGTTGTCCAACCCGCTAATTCGTACCCATTTTCAAGGCCGGATCTTTTCCAGATAAGCCCCACCAAAAAGTTAACCCCGCCACCCAAAAAAGATTAGAAAAAAGAGGATGTGAAAGTTGTACTTTTCGTTTTTATTGAAGAGGGTAAAATTGGGGCACGTCATTATTAATTCGCAAGAAGAAGTTCGTTTTCCGGTACCTTTACCTCCAAACGAACTCACACAAGTAGCTGTCCATTAAAGATCGGTGTGTGCCGCATCGGCGCTTATTCTGCATCTTGTGGACGCGTAGACCTGGGCCGCCGATAACTGTTGGAATTTTCAAAAGCCGCCAGGCACAAAATTCACGAAGAAAGTTCTTCCAGTCAACAGCGGTCGTGTGGCTAATAGATAGTTCCTCTGAGCAG